AGTCTTTCACAGTGATGTTGGGTGACTTTATGCCACTCCTGGCGCAAAAATTCAAGCAGCTCGGCTTTGTTTGATGGCTTGTGACCATCCATCTTCCTCTTGATCACATTCCAGAAGTTTTCAATGGGGTTCAGGTATGGAGATTGGGCTGGCCATGACAGGGTCTTGATCTGGTGGTCCTCCATCCACACCTTGATTGACCTGGCTGTGTGGCATGGCGCATTGTCCTGCTGGAAAAACAATGTCAGAGCAAAAGGAAGCACGTTTTCTTCCAGGACAACCTTGTATGTGGCTTGATTCATGTGTCCTTCACAAAGACAAATCTGCCCGATTCCAGCCTTGCTGAAGCACCCCCAGATCATCACCGATCCTCCACCAAATTTCACAGTGGGTGTGAGACACTGTGGCTTGTAGGCCTCTCCAGGTCTCCGTCAAACCATTAGACGACCAGGTGTTGGGCAAAGCTGAAAATTGGACTCATCAGAGAAGATGACCTTACTCCAGTCCTCTACGGTCCAATCCTTATGGTCTTTTGCAAACCTCAGCCTGGCTCTTCTTTGCTTCTCATTGATGAAGGGCTTTTTTCTAGTTTTGCACAACTTCAGCCCTGCCCCTAGGAGCCTGTTTCGAACCGTCCTCGCCGTGTACTTCAATGAGTTGGCGGTCATCCTGGTCAGTAGAGAGTCGTTTTCGCCCTCTGCCGGTCTGTAGCTTTGTTGTCTCCAATGTCTGCTGCATGACCTTGTTCTTATGAACCGCCATCTTTGAAATTTAAAGGATGGAAGCAATCTGACGCTCACTGTATCCCTCTGCCAGTAAAGCCAAAATTGAACCCTTCTGTTCCTCACTCAAAACTTTCCTTTTCAACTCTTTTGGCATGGTCAATAGTTATTTTTTGATTAATATTACTTTTGAGGTACTATTAGCACTGTTTTTGCCATCCAGCTGGTCCTATTGCAAGAGGATAGTGATGACCACAACAGTGGTTTTTATACTTTTCCTCGTTAAATAAGATTTGGTTCATGTGATCACCTAATCAGTACCTAATTCAGTAGAATGAGGTGTGCATGTGTTGGAATTCAACAGACACTGGAATGGAATGGCTGTCATACATGTAGAGATGCTGATTTAAGAAGAATTTACAGTGGTCTCTTAATTCTTTCCACAGCTGTGTGTGTGTTTATATATATATATACACACAGCTGTGGAAAAAATTAAGAGACCACTGCAAATATATATATTGTTTTTACACCTTTTTTCTATCTGCATTTCTGTCCACAATTTAGTTATTGACATAGCCTTGTTCTGTTCATGTTCTCTACCTATATACTGTAGTACTTTAAAATACCACAATTCATGTTTTTAAGTTAAAAATAATAAAATATACAAATTGCTGTCACCATTCAACACTATGAGGGTTCGAAACTTTAAAGCCATTTATCTCTAAATTATCTTTTTTGCAGATAGAACCTTCTAAGGACGTGTGATCCTGTTCCAATTTTTTTTCATACTACAACTAACCTGTAGAAAAACCTTCTCCAGTTCTTTGTCATGGTCCTTTGAGATGGATTTGACCCGTTGTAAACCATAGGTTTTGCGCATTTCAGTGGGTTAAATGTCTTGAGACAGCTGTGGCTGTAGAATCCAACTAGAGAGTGGTAGTCAGGCATGTGTCAAGACAACAGGCAAACCGTAGTGACAGCTCTCTAGGATTACAGACTGATTGTGTTGAAAACTGAGATGGAGTGAGTCTGATTGGGACTGCAGTAGAGTACAGTGGTACTAATCCAGACTCTCTCCCACCATTTCACCCCACTAATCCTGCCTTCAGCCCAGGGAGGGGGGCTTCCTACTGATGTTACCTCTCTGTCTGCTCCTGTTTTAGCCCCTCTAACTTTGAATTATTTGCTGTGAAATAAGTGTTCACAATTTTCCTTTCAATAAACTCTTAAAGGCAGCTGTACAATATATGTTTAGGCTAATTTTACATGTCAGTTTGCTTTTGAATGGAAACTAACTAAGTCATTGTCTGGGATTGTTTGGGTTTGTCTTGCTATCCCCTACCATCTCTCAGACAGGCCTGTTGTAGCTGGATCAGCTGAGTCCTGTAGAGTGTGTTATTGTTCTTTGAGGAGGTTTTGGGCTTTAATATGTCTGTCTCAGTCTAGTAGTCAACTCAGGTAAGTCCCATATGCCAAGTGAGGACAATTTACATCTGGGAGGTGATGTAACTACAGTCTTATTCTCTCTCTCTCTCTCTCTCTCTCTCTCTCTCTCTCTCTCTCTCTCTCTCTCTCTCTCTCTCTCTCTCTCTCTCTCTCTCTCTCTCTCTCTCTCTCTCTCTTTCTCTTTCTCTGTCTCCGTGTCTCTCTTTCTCTGTCTCTCTCTCTCTCTGTGTCTCTCTCTCTCTCTCATGGAACATTATCATCACACGTGTGTGTGTGTGTGTGTTTGTGTGACAGTCCGTAATCCAGGTGGAGGGAAATCATACCCCATCTGGCCCATGTGTCACAGAGTGTGAGGAGAAGCCTCCTGGAAACCATGGTGTGCATGTTTCTCACAGAACACAAATCTCACGTCACCCCTCCCACGGTCAGCGACACTGGATGGGGTTTCAACGCCAACTGCTGACAGTACAGTCAGTTGTATGCATCCCCTATCCAACACCATCTCTGAGAGGGGATTACTGTACACTGTAAAAATAGAAAGTCTCAAAACACCATGATTGTGTAATAAAACCATGAAAAGTTGTGCACCTAAGCTTATATCTAGTGTTTGGAGAATGTTTCAATGTAAACCCAATGTAAGTGTTTGAATACACAGAATGTGTTTTAAAATATAAATTAAGTACTCTGAAACACCCAAAGTGGTTCTTCATTCAACACTTTTGGGGGTTTCCGTGCATGTACAATGCAGCATAAAACAAAAAACCGGTGTTTCTCATACAATCAACGGTTTAGAAATGAAAATAGTTTATAGCTTAAATATTGATTGATGATAAGGGCCTATGGATAATATTTTTTGTAGAATTCCACCTTTATTTTTCAATGCTTTATTTAGACAGATTAGAAACAGGAGGGGCAGTAAAATGGTACATTTCGTTGGAATTTCACCCACTCAACCACACAGCCACAATGTAAGAAATTATTCTGGGGTGAATTGACATGGACAAAAAAAAATAATATATATATATATATATAAATACTTATTTGTATTATTATTATTGTTATTATTATTTTTAAATTAAAACAACAACAATACAATACGAATGGCCGCTCCCCCCAGTGGGTCCTATGGTCAGTGGGTGTGCTCGCTCCCATCCGCCCCTAGACGCCGGGAGGGTGAAGCCCCCGCCCCCGGCGCAAAGGGATTTTCCAAGGCCGGGAAGGACCAAGCACCGCCCGACGCTCAGGCGGCCATGGAAACCAGCGCACCCAAAACCAACATATACTTAATACAAATAAATGCAAGTCGTGCAGAGCCTGTAGTCTAGCGGTAATGCACCCGGGTTAGACACATCACTCCTCTCCCCACCGAAGACCGGGGTTAAATTCCCCGCTCCAACCCTTCAATCTGTTTCTCCCACCTATCTGTATCCCCTCTGTCATTTCATAACTGTCTCAATAAAGTGTCAAAATACCAACAAAATCTTTTTTTTTTTATGTATGCAAGTCATTTCAATTATTTGTTATTTTCATTTAACCAAAATAATGTAAGAATAAATACAACTTAACATGTTTCTCAAAATGTAATTATCTTTCATGAGGATAACCAAAGAGAGAGAAGTCTTTGGTTTTAATCACCTTGCATTTCCTATCTTGTCACGTGATTGGAGGATTGTGGGTAATTCAAAATGTTTTGACTTTATGATTCTTTCACACAATGTTGTATGCATTGAAGAAATAAACTTATATTTCTATATAAGTATTAAGCTTGTTGTGCCATGAGGTGTAATGGATCATGATGAACAGATATCAAAACCATCAGACAAAATTACATTCAATGAGAACAGCACCCATTCCCACAATGTAAGACAAGTGCAGAATCCTCAATTCTTGTTGTTCAATAGCCAGTTATTGCTGGTGGTTTGAACACTCTGCTTGACAATGCCTGCCAAAACAGTATAAAATGGCAAATTATCAAATACGTAAAACAATGTTAAACATGAAGACATTTCAGACAAAGGGATCTAATTCTGCACTAGACAGGATTCAAAACATCATAATGGTGTTTAGAAGCTTTAGAGAGAGGAAAAGACACCTGAAGAGAAGGTATCTAATTCTGCACTACACAGGACTCGAAACACCAACATAATGTTTTCAATATTTTATGTTAGTTCTCCCAGTCCCTGGCAAGGTGTTGCTCAACACTTGATTAAGTGGGGTTTCAACACACCATGTCATGTTCAAAACATTTCAGGATGATGTGTTTCAATACTCCAGCAAAGTTAAGGTTTTGTCTCCTCCCTTCAAGTTGGTGGTAGTTGCCACTAATTCTGGTGTTACAAAGCACTTAATTTTAAAGTTCCACTATGCAGAAAAAAAAGATGCAAAGCAAAACTTAAGAACGGGAAGCACAGAAATATGGCACATAGAACAGATAATACCACTTCTTAGACTTGCTTTCAAGTAGATTGATAAATCTATAACCCACATTTCTATGTGAATTTGGTTGGGTCGCCCAGAAAGTTACATATTGCCACTTTTGTAGGCTAAGGCCCTCCATAGATAGACTAAAATGTTGGCAAGTAATATCATTATTTAGGACTAGTCTCGCTTGGTTTATTTCAATCATTCCAGACTCAGACTTCCAGACTCGTGGCTGTGAACTTGTTGTGTTCAAGGACCAGACACCTTACATAACATTGTGTGTGGCCTTATGCACAGCTGCTATGTACCTGATCAGTTGTCAGAAAAACCTCAGGGCTCTAGATACAGTATGTAATGTGATAGATAGTATGAGTACTGAGTTTGACTGTTGTTTGTTTCTTTCCTCCACAGTTTCCTTATGGTCCTGGTGTGCCTTATCTTCAGTGTCCTGTCCACCATAGAACACTATGCCGATTTCGCCAGCGGAACTCTCTTCTGGATGGTGAGTGGATTTTATGATGGATTTCATCTCTAAGTCTTTGATTTTTTTTTTGTATTGCAATACCATCGACATCCACATGATGGGAGTAGGACATCTTGAGTGGGAAGCAGACTAACCGCCATCTTAAATTCTTCTGATTTCAAGCTCAGTGTTCAACAGTATGATAAAAGTAGTGAACCTCAAATGAAATGGAAAGGATATATAGAGGTGCATGAAACTCTATGTCTATTAGTCATTGGCATGCTTCAGAACTTATTGCTGGGGGATTTGTTTGATGTAGATTCTATTGGCTACTCTCAGTACAACCAGTCCTACTCTCACAGGTAGAAAAATACTGATATGGGGCAGGATAAGGACTTTATCTCACAAACACGTTTAGCATATTAACACACACACACACACACACACACACACACACACACACACACACACACACACACACACACACACACACACACACACACACACACACACACACACAGACACACACACACACACACACACACACACACACACACACACACACACACAGACACACACACCTCCCCAGTGTGGGGGCAACCAGAGGATAGGACTGTACAGAGTGTTCTCTAAACTTTTGGCCATTGCCCTTTGGAGGATTCACTGGCTGCTGAGTTGTTCATTTATTTACACCCTGGAAGAAAAACTCTATTCTCAGCAGTTTGATTAGAACTAGAAAAGTAAGTCCAAAGCCCAGTGTCTAGAACAGAAGACAGATAGAACATTTGAGCTAAAGCAGTAGTTACATTAGACTTAGAGTTTGAGTAACAAAACATTATAACAAAACATTTGTAACTCAAGACATGAGCGTTACAAAACCTACAAGACTGTATTAGAAAAGGAAACAGGTGGCAATGTCCTAAGGATGACATTTGACAAAACTGTTCAACCCCATTTTATGTGCACATGCATGTGTGTGTATGATGTAATTGTTTTTGTGTATGGCATATGTTGTGTGTGTATTGTGTTTGTGAGAGAGTCAGTGTCATCATGGTGCGTATTTGTCGTGGAGTGACTATACTTAGCAAGTTCAAGGTTAGCTGACATCCATGAATCAGAGCGTGCTTGTGTTGGATGGCAGAGTCCTTGAGGATATTTGGCTTTCAAGGCGGCTGCCAAAGTAAAGCTAGCCAGGTTCATTAGGGCGCACCGACATCCATCACATGTCACACGCTCTAGTCTCTCTTTCCATTCCTCTCCTGTTCTCCAGTCTACTCCAGGTCCACTGACGTCACAGCTGTGTGGCACAGTGGCAGCACCAAACATCTGATCAGAAACTGGATTCCACCATCATTCCACTATTTTAACATAGAGCCCCCTTAAAGAGTTTCACATAGCCCAATCCAGCTTCAATCCATCTAATCACATTTCAATGCTCTGAATCAGCTCTATCCTAGTTTTATGAGATTAGGGAACACTACTAAATGAATCTATCAGTTGTTTTCTGCAAACATCTAGTTACCGTTTCATCACACTGAAATCTCTGAAATCCGGTCGACCCATTTTCGAATTTTTGGGATTTATTGTAATCCGATTTGATTCTCCAGATTCACCTGGTTTTTACCTGGAAATGTCATGGTGAAATGTTTTTCATGTAGTAATTCAATTCTTTTTTATTCTCAGCCAGCACTGACCTGACCTGGCCATTCATCTATGTTTCATGTTCCTGTTCCACTCTGATTTGGACATACTGTATGTCACGTGTCCCCACTCTTGTTTGGGTTTCTTTAAATCTCACAACAAGCCATGGTGACAAACAAATAGACTTATCTCCTAGAGGTGCTGGCCACTGGGGAGCAGTCTGGACAGGTGTGGGAAAATAACCTTGGCTGGAAGGACACTGACACTTTTAGATACAAATACCCACAAATATACTGAACAAAAATATAAACGCAACATGTAAAGGGTTGGTACCATGTTTCATGAGCTGAAATAAAAGATCCCAGACATTTTCCAGATGCACAAAAAGCGTATTTCTCTCAAATTTTGCGCACAAGTTTGTTTACATCCCTGTTAGTGAGCATTTCTCCCACAGGGGTCTGAATACTTTCCAAATGCATTGTATGCTAAATCCACACAACATTACATTTACATTTACATTTACATTTACATTTACGTCATTTAGCAGATGCTCTTATCCAGAGCGACTTACATTATATATTTTTTCATACCCCCTGTGGGGTATGAAAAACAGTGCTATTTGTTCCTGTAACATCAATCCAATCCACTCCACAGTATCATTTATGAGGAAAGGAAGGGCACCGTCACTGTAGTAGTAGTAAGTGAACGTTTCTATAGGGTGAGTGACAGCCAGGGGATTGTTTTTGTGACTATGGAGCTATGTTGTTGCAGCAGGGCCTTGGAATTAGGTTTCATAAGGGGGGACTGGTAGGGAAGCCAGTTTAAGCAAGCAATGGGACGGCCACCCACACTGGGATGGCTATTATGGAGTGTTAGGTGGCACAATATTATGGAGACATGGTGCTAATGAAAAAGATATTGGTTCATTAGGACTTATCAAGTCGTATCACACCTACACAAAATGACACCCATTCAAACCTCTAAGATACGTGCTCGCACACACGCTCACATAGACACACGCATGGATGCACGCACAAACGCACACACACTGACATTTAGTTTTGCTCCCGGAGGACCATGAATGGTTTATATTGAAGGGGGGATTGGGACTACACTGCAGTGACTGCACCCTCTCTCTAGTGGGACTGGGGGATATATGGTTACTGTAATAATGCTGGATCAACCACCGGCTGTTTTGTTTTAATCAGATCCCAGAGTTTTTTTCCTTCCAATCAGGTTCTCTAATAGTTGTGACCATTGTTTTTTAACCACCTAACAGATGTGTAAAGGGCTCTAACACAACCCAGCTTATTGTCCTGTGTAGCTCAGTTGGTAGAGCAAGGCGCTTGCAACGCTAGGGTTGTGGGTTCGATTCCCACGGGGGACCAGTATGAAAAAATGTATGCACTCACTAACTGTAAATTGCTCTGGATAAGAGCGTCTGCTAAATGACTACAAATGTAAAAAATAAATAAATTAGGAGTTATCCTACCTGCACATCCTGCTGAGGTGCTGTCACAGCCATGACGCTCACATAACTAAGCCTTTTACCCTGGCTCAATATGCTCTGTCATCATAGATGCTATCAAACCTTTTTCTTGGTGGGCCGGTGTGAATGTCTCCCTCACCACCAGACCACCTCAGCCTCTCTCTGTCAGCACACCCAGTCCCAGCAAGCTCTTATCAAGCCTGAGATCTCAATGCATTGCTTGGCACTCATATGTATGAAATAGTAAATAAATAGTGTGTGTAGAAGTCTTAGAATTTGTGATAGTAAAATGCAGTAGTCTTAATGAACTAGTTTGAATGCTTTGTGTCTTCCCCCTTTCTTCTCCGGCCCTGTTCTCCTTACTGTTGTCTGTAACTGCTTGTGTTCTGGTCCACAGGAGATTGTCCTGGTGCTGTTCTTTGGGACGGAGTACGTGGTGCGGCTCTGGTCCGCCGGCTGCAGGAGCAAATATGTGGGGATCAAGGGACGACTCCGCTTTATCAGGAAACCCATATCTATCATAGGTGCACCTGGCTTCTACTTTATTACATCTCAAACCACTGTGCCATAGGCATTCAGACAGACACTGTTGTTACATGATATTACCCCCCCACTTCATTTTTGGTCAAATTAGATTACTTCTAGTATTATTTCTACTATTACTACTTACATTTCAATGGCAATTTAAGCATTTGAAGATTATGAACTAGATGCCAATGCTAATGTGTAGGTGCACACAATACATTACAGATGGTGTCTGTTTCCTTTGTCTCCCCCCCACAGATCTGATAGTGGTTATTGCCTCAGTCATAGTGCTGAGTGTAGGCTCCAATGGCCAAGTGTTTGCCACATCTGCTATCAGGTACTGTTTATGTTACAAATAACAGTGTAATAAATTGTCATATTTTGTGCTGGACTGTAATTGTGTTGTCATTGCTTAGTAAAACAGACGGAAGAGAGTAGAGGTAGAGGAGGCTGTCTCATTGATATAGGCTAAGGTTTGATTGACATCGGTTGCCTTTTGTCTCTATTGTTACAGGGGGATCCGCTTCCTCCAGATTCTACGCATGCTGCACGTGGATCGTCAAGGAGGAACATGGAGGCTTCTGGGATCTGTAGTCTTCCTCCATCGACAGGTGGAGATCCCTTTACATCCCTTGGGGTCATTTAATCTCATAATTATGTGCAGTATGTGCTCACATGAAGTTAAATATCACAAGGTCGTCTGGAGCATAATGCTGTTTTAAGTAGAGTGACTTGATCTACCTTGATCCTACTTGATCTTACTTGATCAACTTTTTCTACGTTGAGTAGGCTTCTCATAAATCCTCAGTCAATCAAACTGATGAAAATGAAAAACGCAAGGTAAATGAGATGCCTAAAGACAAGGTTAGTCATGGCTTTGAAAATGAAAAACAACTAGTATTGGACATTTCTTAACCAAATAAGGACACACCCTGTGGTCAGATGATGGGTACACATTGCTGCCATTTCATCCAGAGGATTAGTGTTTGAGTTGCCCTGCCTCCTGCCTCCTGCCTCCTGCCTAGCCTGTCTGGTTATGGGCAGACATCTATCCATGTTTTTCATGCTACATTACCACCAGTGATTACCACAGAGCCCGGTGTGCAATCACAGATTCCTCTGATACTCTCACTGAGACCTGCAAGGCTTTATAAGGAGAGGGAGGTAGAGCGTCAGGCTCAACATCTTTTCTTTACTCCTCTTTGTGTGTTTTCCCCTCTTTTTTTTTGTAATCTCTACCGTTACGCTCATTTCATTCATCCAGTGTTCTTTTTAAGACCACCTGTTTCGTATTTTTTTTCTGTCTCACTTTGAGATTTTTTATGTAATGAAAAGCGCTATAAAAGGTTACATTAATTATTATTAGTATTATTATTATTATTATTATTATTATTATTATTATCTTTAACTGGAAGATGTGGGTTATTTCTCTGTGATGTGCAATGAGTCTACCGGTGATCTTTTAGGGTTTAGTGTTAGGGTTACATCAATAGTCAAAGGGAGATTGTCTTCTCTCTGAGTGAAACGATAGAGAGATATATGCCTCCTCTTTCTATGTTAAATCATTGCATGCTGTAGCCTTGATCAAACTATGTGTTGTAATGATTTATGTTATGGATGGATTTCATTTTAGTTCGATTCATACCTGCAATGTAAAATGTGTAAATAATGTCAAGAAATGCGTTTAACATCTACACATTTTAGCAGACGCTCCTATCCAGAGCGACTTACAGTTAGTGAGTGCATACATTTTCCATACTGGCCCCCAGTGGGAATCAAACCCACAACCCTGACGTTGCAAGCGCCATGCTCTACCAACTGAGCTACAGGAGGCCCAATACATTACAACTGACATACTACACTCTGTGTGTATTTCCTCTGTTGTAGGAGCTGATCACAACGCTGTACATCGGCTTCCTGGGGCTGATCTTTTCCTCCTACTTTGTGTATCTGGCGGAGAAGGATGCTGTGGATGAGGAGGGCAAGACTGGCTTCTCCAGCTATGCTGATGCCCTGTGGTGGGGCGTGGTAAGGCATAGTAATAGCATAGTATATGCCATATAGCAGACTTTTAGTAAAGTGTGTTGTGTATACATTTTAGCATATGTGACCCCAGCAGGAATCAAACCCACAGCCTCTATTTCCACCTCTGTGGTTGTTTTGTGGTGTGTGTTTGTCAATGTCTCCCTCTAGCTTGAGTGGTTCTGGAATACCTAAGCCAGTTTCAGTCACACAAAGCTACTGCTAGCCTCAGAGAAATACGTTTTGTTTGAGAGAAATAGACAAAAGGTGTCAGGAGTTGGGTAGACGATGAATACAGACATAATGCTGAAGCTGTAATGCTTCAATAACACACAGGGGTTCTTATTGGACGTTTTGAAGATGCTGCCCACCCTAGTTGGGACCAAAGATTGAACTACACTCAATGACTATTCATTTTTCCATTTGTGGCTGATGTGTGAAGTAGTTGGTGCAATACTCAGTCTATAAGGAGGCAGCTTATGGTGTTGTGCCCATGCTGTTGTGGCTGTTTCCATCAGGTTTCCATCCATGGCGGGTCAAGTTTCCAGTTCAGTTAATTAAACAGTTGAATGCAAGGCTGTGGGTAATGAGAAACCTGTGGTAGTCTTGTGCTAGGGGGATCTACACACCACAAAATACTTTCACCATTCACCTCTTTGCTCTCTGGCTCAAAGACCTTTTGCTCTGCCACTATAAAGTGTCAGTTCCTTTAATTAAAACTGTAATTGCAGGATTACTAGCTGTTTTTTGATGAGAGTTAGAACGGTTCGGGGTCCTTGGTGCCCAATGAAACCAAGAAGAAAAGCTGTTTTTTGTGTCTCGTAGCCCACAATGAACAAAACAGCCCAATAGGAGCTTTGCTCTCCTTTGTTTTCCACAGACTGTAAACTTGAGACTTGTGATATGCCGTGCCAATAGCGTTGGTCACTCAACTCTGGTTTGTGTGTGTGTGTATGTTTGTGCGCTGAGTTCAGTTTGCACAGCAGTAAGGGGAGAGCCTGATTGGAGAGTGGTGTGTGTGTGTGTGTGTGTGTGTGTGTGTGTGTGTGTGTGTGTGTGTGTGTGTGTTTCCCAACATATTCCCTGTCAGCTTGTTTTCCACTGTGGGATGTGCAGGTGCAGGGCACAGCTGTAGGACGGGCCCAGAGCCCACGGCCAATGGCATGATTCATATTCCCCCTCTCTTCTCTCATCCTCGTCTTTCACACTCAGTCCATCCAAGCAGACGGAGGTCATTCAGGGAAAGGTGTTTGATCTGGAGCTTCATCTGCTCAACCTCTGAGAAAATATATTTGGAGAGAGAGACAGAAAAGCGATTGATTTCAGGAGGGATAGGGAGAGACAGAGAGAGAGGCAGTGTGCCATATACATGAACTTAGTTTATGGTGTGATGCCACACATAGGGTCTGTGGTGTTTACTATGAACCATAAGATGGCAGGCGTGGTATGGCAATGACACACACTCACACATAGAGAGGGAGAAATAGACCTTGAAGACATGTAGAGGCTTCACCACCCACTTGGATTGCAGCGCTTACACCAGGGCCCAGTTTTTCAAAAGTTAGCGAACTGGATTTTGCCTATCGGATAGGATTACATGCATAGAAATAAAATGAATAGAATGGACAAGTCATTGACTTGAATGGGGACTTCCGTTCTGTTCATTCTATTTCTATGATAGATAAATCCAGAAAGATAACTTTTGAAAAACTGGGCCATGGGGTTTGAATGCGGGGGTGTTGTTGAGTGGACTATTCCACACTGATGTCAGGCCCATTGTTTAGTCATACCATTTGTAGATGAGGATTAACCACCCCCTCACCCCCTCCCTCCTACTCGGCTTCTTCCTCTTTACTCCCAAAGCCTTTTAAGTATCTCACCTTACATCACCCTCTTTGTGTCAGCACACAGCACATGGTCACACGGCGCCCCAAAGACACTCCACTGTAAGCCAAGTGCTTCTCTCAATGTGTCACAATTGGCTCAGCTTTCAGAGTGATTGTACATGCAAATGCAGGGGGGATTTGTTTTCCTCTCCCGCTCGGCCAAATTCCTCCCTTCACTGTGGATTAGTCCCAGTCAGAATCGTATTCCTATTGAGTGAAGTTCAACTGTTGAATAGTGACAGATATGGAGCGGGGCCAATAAGTCTGATGAACTTTCTCTTCATGATCTGGCCCTTGTTGTTATCGCCAAGCTGAAGGAGCTGTGAAAGCACTGTGTTCAATGACCTCTTTACAACCAAGCAGCTCATTATTAGAAACGCCTTAAAAACTCTTAACTTCTTTAGTTGACATTTAAATGGATATAAAATCAGTGTGTGGAAACATTTCCTTGTTTTCCCCAATGTAGAGTATCATCCCATCTCCACTGTCTTGTGTCCCCAGGTGACGGTGACCACCATTGGCTATGGGGACAAGGTTCCTCAGACGTGGATAGGGAAGGCCATCGCCTCCTGCTTCAGCGTCTTCGCCATCTCCTTCTTCGCTCTTCCTGCAGTAATTACCCCTCCTCCTCCTCCTCCTCCTCACCCACCTCCTCTTCCTCCTTAATAACCTAAATAGCATAATGTGTACATAATTCATAATACACTATATTGCCTTCCATCAATACTGTGTTGTCTGTTGCCTCAGTGTGCAGCTCCAGGTCCTTTTCACAGTGTTGTGATGTCTCTCTCTGTCTCTCAATCTCTTTCTCCCTCTCTCTCTCGTTATCTCTTTCTCTCGTTATCTCTCCAGGGTATACTGGGCTCAGGCTTTGCTCTGAAGGTGCAGCAGAAACAGAGACAGAAACATTTCAACAGACAGATCCCGGCTGCAGCCTCACTAATCCAGGTACTGACTGACTGAGACACAGACAGACAGCCACCCACCAGTCAATCACTCACTCTGTCTTGTCTGGGATCTCAACAGCTATGTATAGGAGAGAACATGTATAGTAAGGAGTGTATACATAGAGCTTAAACAGAGTAATGACATATGGGACGTACTGTAGACCGTTGAATCTCTCTGCGCTCTTAGAAAAAAGGTGCTATCTAGATACCTAAAAGGGTTCTTCGGCTGTCCCCATAGGAGAACCCTTTGAAGAACCCTTGTTGGTTCCTGGTAGAACCATTTTGGTTCCAATTACAACAGTTTTGGGTTCCATGTAGAACCCTTTCCACCGAGGGTTCTACATGGAACCCAAAATGGTTCTACCTGGAACCAAAAATGATTATTCTATGGGGACAGCTGAAGAATCATTTTGGAACCCTTTTTTCAAAGAGTGTAGGTGTGATGGGTGATTTGAAGGAGTCAGGCGCAGGAGGGTAAATCACAGAATACAGAGTTTATTCTGGAAAACAGAGTTACGCAGGATAGCGTCAAACACAAGGACAAGGGGGCAGAGGGAACACTTATACAAGTACGAATAAGGGGATATGAACCAGGTGTGTGTAAATGACAAGAAAAAACAAATGGAATGATGATATGAGATGCGGCAGTGGCTAGAAGGCCGGTGACGACAAACACCGAAGCCTGCCCGAACAAGGAGAGGAGGCAGCTTCGGAGGAAGTCGTGACAGTACACCCCCCCCTCCAGCAGCGTGCCGACACCAGTCTCGGGGATGTCCAGGAGGACGCGGAGCAGGGCGAGCCGGATGGCGACGGTGGAAATCCCGCAACAGGGAGGGATCGAGGATATCCCTCACCGGGACCCAGCACCTTACCTCCGGACCGTACCCCTCCCACTCCACGAGGTACTGAAGGCCCCCCACCCGACACATCGAATCCAGGATGGAACGGACGGAGTACGCCGGGGCCCCCTCGATGTCCCGGGAGGCGGAGGGACCTCCCGCACCTCAGATTCCTGGAGCGGACCAGCCACCACCGGCCTGAGGAGAGACACATGAAACGAGGGGTTAATACGATAATCATGGGGAAGTAATAACCTATAAGTAACCTCGTTTATCCTCCTCAGGACTTTGAACGGCCCCACAAACCGCGGGCTCAGCTTCCGGCAGGGCAGGCTTTGGGGCAGATTCCGGGTCGAGAGCCAGAACCGATCACCTGGTACGAAGACCGGGGCCTCACTGCGGTGGCGGTCAGCATTGACCTTCTGACGACGCACAGCGCGTTGGAGATGGACGTGAGCAGCGTTCCACGTCTCCTTCCGCATGCCGAAACCAGTCATCCACCGCAGGAGCCTCGGTCTGGCTCTGGTGCCACGGTGCCAGAACCGGTTGATAACCTAAAACACATTGGAATGGCGTTAGGTTAGTGGAGGAGTGACGGAGAGAGTTCTGGGCATATTCGGCCCATGGCAAGAACACCGACCACTCCCCCGGCCTATCCTGGCAGTAGGACCGCAGGAACCTACCCACATCATGATTTACCCGTTCCATTACTCTCGGGGTTGAAACCAGAGGTCAGACTGACCGAGACCCCCAGACGTTCCATGAACGCCTTCCAGACCTTGGATGTGAACTGGGGACCCCGGTCAGACACTATGTCCTCTGGTACCCCGTAGTGCCGGAAGATATGTATAAACAGGGCCTCCGCAGTCTGCAGGGCCGTGGGGAGACCGGGCAAAGGAAGGAGGCTACAGGCCTTGGAAAAGCGGTCCACAACGACCAGGATGGTGGTGTTACCTTGAGAGAGGGGCAGATCAGTCAGGAAATCAATACTTAGGTAAGACCATGGGAGGTGCCTAGGTGCCTTACTCTGGGCGCGCACCGAGCAGGAGGAGACACCCTCATGTCCTTAGCCAAGGTAGGCCACCAGTACTTTCCGGTCAGGCAGCGCACTGTACGACGATACCTGGGTGACCAGAGGAGGGGGACGTGTGTGCCCAGTAGATCAGATGGTCATGGACAAGAGCAGGCACGTACTGCAGCCCAGCGGGACACTGAGGTGGAGATGGCTCTGTGCGTAATGCCTGCACTATATCCGCGTCCATCGCCCATACTACCGGCACCACTATGCAGGAGGCCGGGAGTATGGGGGTGTTGTCTCTGGGCCTCTCCTCTGTGTCATACAGCCGTGACAGTGCGTCTGCCTTCACGTTCGCTTCTCCCAAGCTGGCTAGCATCGTCGAATGCTCCTGCACCCGTGCCACGACTCCAGGCATGCGCTCCTCTCCCGCTGACTCCATAGCGGGTGGGTGATTCTGTGATGGGTGATTTGAAGGAGTCAGGCGCAGGAGGGTAAATCATAGAATACAGAGTTTATTCCGGAAAACAGAGTTACGCAGGATAGCGTCAAACAGTCAAGTGCGCAAAACAGGTGCACTGGAGCAAATACAGGCACACGGGGAAAATATACCCCGGCAATGAAAAATACACGTAGCTCAACCGAGCTACTCTCTCCTCACATAGAACAATCACCCACAAGGACATACAAGTGCTAATGATGGGATATGAACCAGGTGTGTGTAAATGACAAGACAAAACAAATGGAATGATGATATGAGATGCGACAGTGGCTAGAAGGCCGATGACGACGAACGCCGAAGCCTGCCCGAACAAGGAGAGGAGGCAGCTTCGGAGGAAGTCGTGACAGTTGGACCTGGGCTGGTCTGGCCTGGTCTGACGCACACCATCTTTGATTTAGTGCTTCACTCATGTAACATCTTCAGGCTAGGAGGTCAGATAGGTTGAATTAAAACATGTCCAAAACCACTCAATCTCCCGAATTCGATTCTTTACAGAACACATTTGTTCCCTCCAGATCTTGCCAATGTAAGCTTCAAAAAGCAGTCTAGTAGTTTTAGAGGAGCAGCAGTGTTTGTAGTCTGCATATTCCCGCTATGTCCTGGAAAAGGTGAGCGGTCCTGTCCTGTTCTCTCCCAGATGGAGACGACAGGCAAATAGCAGACGGTTTTATTCGCCAGGAGCTGGCCATCACAAGGATCACATTGACTCTGAACAAACACAGAATCGCACAGCTGCATTTACATAGAGACTCCTTATTGTGGTGACATTTAGAAACGTAGAGACACTAAATGCACATAATAGTGATGATGATGATGATGTCGGTGCAGAGCTAAAAATGGAATGGGTATAGGATTTTTCACAAAAAAATGTCAGACTGAAGTTGTGAAACAAGGAATCTGCTTCAGAGGGAAGAGTCGTCTCTGTCAGAGCACAGCGTTGCACTGACATAAGGTCAGTTGGTTAAGGTTCGGATAGGGCTGATTCTAGATCTGTGCCTAAGGCCAACTTCTACCCAGAGCTGAGAAAATGTCCAGGTGATCAGCTCACCCGCTGGGTTTACCCTGGTAAATGATATGATTAAAACATTTATCACACTGGTTCACTGTTTGTGTCCATCCTCTTCCTCAGACGCTGTGGCGGTGCTATGTAGCAGAGAAACCAGAAGGCTGTCCCGCCACCTGGAAAATGTACGTCCTCACCGGAGACTACATCCCTACCATTAATTCTGAAAACAACAGCCCAAACCTCAGAAACAAGGTAAAAACTGCATTACTACTTCAGTTATTAAAAAGCAAAATACTGTAGGTGTATTCACACATTATGCACCTTTAACCCTGTTCAGAGAGAAGCAACAGTTTGCCTCTGCATTCTACTGATGCACTATAGCTGCTTTGTCAATCAACAGCTAATATATCTGGTCAACCTGTCTCTCGGCACACATGCATCCCATCTCAATTCCCAGAGATGTCAGAAAGAGAGCTGCCCACAGGAAAAAGCTGTTTGGTAGGGATATGAGCCATCCATCTGGCTGACAGACAGACCTAGTATTATCCCCTTCAACAGTGTGGTTTTTAACTTAACTACATTAGCTGTGTGGTGGTGCTTAGGGCATGGAACTGACTGTGAAAGAACAAGTTAAGCCCCCCATCCACTCCCTTTCCCCAGTCAGCAGCCACCCACCCCCACCACATACCCCCTACCCCTCGAGGCCTGAGCCAGTGAGCCACCAGGATGACTCCAGGCCTTTGTCTCCCCCACACAAAGACACAGTCAGTTGAGATGATGTCACCGCTGCCTTTCTCATGGGAGTAAACCTTTGTGTTGGTAGAACAACAACAAAAAAATCTTTGTTTAGCATTGAACCCACACATATTGGGGAGAGTGAAGGCTGCTTCCGTCCCTTTCTGTTTCTGCATGTGACTTTTCTCCTTCTCTCTCTCTCACCTTCTCTCTCTCTCTCCTCTATCCCTTTCCCCTCTGTTCCTAATGAGTCATTCAGAATTCAGGCACATTCTGGTATTTGGACAGGACTGTGGGCCAGTCAATGCCAGGAGACTGTGTGTCTGTCACTGAGTAAAAATCATTCCGTTTCTATAAAGCAGTCAGTCTATAAAGCTTGCTCTGGGAGATGGAGTGGAGCACAATGAAGGTCCGGAGGCATTCAGAGACTTAGAGAGCTTTGACCTCAGTTAAACCTGCATAGATTAGAAGACATCGCCTAAGTCACCATGCTATAGTGCAGGTAGATTTGAAATGTCAGAAATATATTATTTGAAGAGGTTTAAGTGTGCACGAATCATTGCTTAAAAAGCAAATACTGAGGCATCAACATTATGAATGGTTAGGCAATGCATCATCAACGTTTACTGAACAGTATATGCAATGTTAGAAATAGCAAATGAGGCATAAACGACAAGTGATAGTGCTAAAACAATTCTGTGCAACCAAAAAAACAAACAAACAACTTGTTTATCATATGGAGGTAGTGATTGGCCACATGTGACCCTTGGCCTTACCTGTTTATTCCCACAGGACCAGGAGTGACCACATAAACCTGACCAGCGAAACTCCTGGCCCTAATGACCGATGCTGAGTTTGTGTTCAGGACAGTCCTGATGATGCTTTTCTTGTGTTTCTGTCTCTGTTGTGTCTTCAGAGAAAGCGCCCCAAGAGGAAACTGAAGATGGTTCGTGACAACGGCTCCCTGACAATCACTGGAGAGAAGAGGATGTCCATTCCTCAGATCACCTTCGACCACATCGAAGATAAAGACGAGAAGAAAGAGGTCCCCTTCTTTCTAGAAGAACAGCCAGGTAACTGGACAGTACTGGAAGGAACTGGTTTCATTACAGTTGGTCGTCTTACAGACACTCCTAATGTTTGGCTTAAAGTGAAGATAGATTACACTGGGAACAGATGTAATTTCAACGTCTAGTTTTGATTCACATTCGGTTGAGTTGTCAACTAACATGAATTCAACGTGAAATCAACAAAAAATGTCACAAGATCATTGGATTTAGGTTCAAAGTTGGGTAAAAAAAATATGAAATTCCCTTACGTTACTGACTTTTTGCAAATATAATCAGTTTTACACGTTAATTCAACATCATCACATAGATTTTTTGTTGTTGAAATGACGTGGAAACAACATTGATTCAACCAGTTTTTGCCCAGTGGGATACTGCCATAATGGCAGTGTCGATTTTAGCATGTAAATCTTGTTGGGGCAAACTCCCCAATTTTTGGGGGGATGCATGCCAGCAAAGTCACTACACAACACAACACAAAACTAAACAATACATTAATACAAATGGTGCCCACAAACTGTTAGGGCCTACATAAAGGTATCCCAACAGTAGAGCTTTCTTTTCAGCACCATGTATTGAATCCTTACCACTGCTACACCTGGCTATCAGCCAAGCCTTGTCTGGCAGCGAAACAGTTCATTCAGCCGCATTCACTGCCTTAAAAAAAACCCATTGCTGATATGGTTGACTTGCTTAAACAAATGTGGTTTCTACTGACAATTGAGATGTACAAACTATGGCATAAGGGGATGACGAGCAGATAAGAGGCAATCCGTAATTTGGATTAAGACATTAATGAGCGAGCTAGGACGGACGTAGTCAATATAACTATTTGTTCAGCACTTTTGAAATGTACAGCAACAGAATTCAGAACATGGGCCGTTCTTACAGTATTCTCCCTGTACACCAAGTCAGAACTGTAGGATAAATAAAGGGGGCATATAAGCAGACAATGAAAGCTCTTACAATATTTGATGATCACATTTCTCTAAAACAGGCTATAGGCTACATGTGCACCAACAAGTCAGAACAGTAGGCTAAATTATGAGGGGGAAAGGGACTACATTATTAGGGATGAGGCACATGGGCTACTAACAGTTTACCACTCAACATACACTTAGTATTACTTTCTTAGCTACAGTATACATATCTCCCTGGCATATTACATAATTTATGCAGCAGCATACAATACATTTTTGGGCTCACCTTGTTGTGCTGTGCTCACTTAAATAAGAAGGTGGCGCGGCGGTCCTTCTTGTGGGCTCTAGAAAGAGGCCCGAAATCCCGACTTGGAATTCTGCGTTGGATGACCGTTCAAAATTATTTTCCCAGTCGGAGCTAGTTTTATCTGAGTTCCCAGTTGTCTTGAACTCACTGACGTCTGAGATTTCACAGTTCCGAGTTTCCAGGTGTTTTGAACGCTGCAGAAGTCATGCTGGATTGACAGCATGGCCAATGTATTAAAACTTTTCTGGCCCATGGCGTTACCCCCTTTTTCGTGATATCCAATTGAAGTTACGATTTTGTCTCATCGCTGCAACTCCCCTATGGACTCGGCGAAGGTCGAGAGCAAAGCCGCACTGCTTCTTGACACACTGCTCACTTAACCCGGAAGCCAGCTGCACCAATGTGTTGGAGGAAACACTGTCGAACTGAGTCAGCTTCCAGTCCCCGGCCCACCATAAGGAGTCGCTAGAGCACGATGAGACAAGGATATCCCGGCCGGCCAAACCCTCCCCTAACCCGGACGACGCTGGGCCAATTGTGCGCCACCTCATGGGTCTTCCAACTTGTTATGTAATGTTTATGTCCAATGGCCGATGAGCACCGATACGTTTTATCTATAATTTATATTCATATGACAAGGATTGAAAAGGATTTGCCAGTAGATTGCCGACATGATGCATGATGATGACTGGTTGTCTAGCTTTCTAGCTAAGATTTTGAAAGTATGACGGTGACATGATCAGTCCAATCAAAGCTACGGTAGATATAACGTGATTTGACGTCATTTTATCTGTGGCCAATGACCTTGAGCCTTCTTGGGTGGGCACTTCTAATGTAAGTCTATGGCAGCACCCAAGGGGCCTGAATTTTCGAGCTCTACCCGTAGATTTTGCGGTGACATCTTGTCCTCATGAGTGACAGAACACTGAGCTAATCATGGCGCAACTAGAGAACATTACCAACCCCTACACTCCGTATTATCCGCTGGCTGCCCAACCACCACAGAAAGCACTGAGCTAGGCTGAAACACCTGCATTTTGGAGCTGCCTTACTCAAGAAAGCAAAAAAGAGACCATAGGAGAAATTAGCATGGATGTAAGGCGATAGATTGTTCTTTTAGCACAGTTTGAGACAGCTGTGTTTGAAGCAGATGTCATATGTGACCGCCTCAATTCGGTTTTATGTAGCAACATTTGAAATTGTGTTTTTTACATTGGATAAAAGTAGAGACTCAGAGCTAGAAAAGTGTATATCATATACTACAGTTGAGGAACAATGGGAAAGTAATTCTGCTTCGAAAGTTGCTAAACTTGTAACCCCACTTTTGAGAAAAATGCCCTTGAATGTTTTGGTACACCTACTGGAGTGCTCTTCTTTGTCTACACCCATTCAGCATCGTTCACACCCTCTTAAGCCCCACACATCTCTTTAAGGATTCACATGTGAGGCCATGTGGTAAACACACGCTATATCAAATCAAATCTATGTTTATTTGTCACATGCACAGGATTCTGAAGGTGTAAACGGTACAGTGAAGTGGTTACTTGCATAGTAGCAATATCAAAAACAGAAAGTCTCCAGATAAAAATATTTTATTATTAGATTATATTTTATTATTAAATGAAGCTTACCCGACACACTTAATTGATGGTCATGTGAAGAAAATACTATAACCACCCCCCAGCCACATCTAACTAAGTGAATGGGTCACTATTGTCTAGACATGTACACATGTTCATGAAATACAATAGATGGCCGTAATCCCCCCCAGACACACCTGGCTAATTTGATGGGTAATGTAATAATCCAGCCAAAGTGGAGTCTTTTTTATTTATACATGTAGCTAGCCAGGTAGCTAGCTAGCTAAACAATGAACTGGCATAATCCCAACTCATACTACTACCAATACAAACATTGTCATAGCTGTAGTATGAATCTGTAGGTAGCTAAAGCTAACAAACGAGGTTCAATGTTAGCTAGCTAACATTAGGCTATAACTAGCAATGCAAATAATGTTTCTGATTCAAAAAATATTACTACACAGATCATCCACGTAATGTTAGCTAGCGAGCCAGCAAGCTAACATTTGCTAGCAAACTAACAGTACGCTTTAACTTGCAATAAAAATGACTTTCTGACAAAATTAGGAACTTATATCTGAAAATGTAGCTAGACTCTTAGCTTTATACATGGATGAACGCTTCACAGCAGACTGGAACCATTTAACTCCGTTTTGTTTGTAGCTACATCTTGTTTGGCCAGCGTTGTGTCAAGTCACTCCGGTTCATACTGACCGTGGCGTGTGCAAAAAGTAGCCCATCACTTTTTCCAACTGATCTGTCGATAGCGCCTGCTATGGGCAACAATGTTGTTGAGAAAAGTAGCAGAACCTTTGTAGTTCTCGATGGCTAATGTTATATCTTTCAAAAACTGCACGGTAGAAAGGACTGTCAACACATACTGAACAGCTCACGTTATAGACAGAAGCATGCTACATGGCAGACCAATCCAAACTCATCTCCCAGCTTTTCCAGCCCATCCATTATCTCAGCCATTCATGGCTAGCGGGAAGGTTCCTGTCTTTTTCTGTAGCTAAACCAAGTAGGCTCGTAATTTAACAATTTTATTCGTATTTATGGATGGAATACAAGTTTCTTATTAAGGCACATTAAAGTTCACGTGTTTACGTTCAAATGCCGCTCTTGTGAAGTAGTGACGTGCGACATACACCTAGCTTCCTGAAACGAGTCACATATGAGGAGCATTTTCCAAAGTGAATTACCATAGTAATGAAACAGTTTTTTTCTTTCAATTCAAACTTAATTTGATTAAATAATGTATTTAAGGGCCCCTTGAAATGATGTCATGCAGACTTATGTTTTGCAGCTTGAAAAGCTATCATTTCAGTAAAAATATATTGGATGCTTTGTGTGTTAACTCTGTTGAATTGACTGGTCAGGGGCCACTGGAGACGAGAGAGAAACGTTTGTGTGGCACAGATGGAGTCCTCTGTTTGAAATTCAAGCAGTGCTATAGAGATATGAGTTTATGAGTAATGCAATTATTCCTTGGTAGGAGACTATAATTCAAACCTGAGGATATTATGTGCTTATCCTTAGCTATTTACCATTCAGTTGAATGCTCAAGGTGTACATTGTAAGTAACAGTGAATCTGTGTAATGTACAGTGTGTCATGTGCGTGGGACACGACACAGTAACGATTTCAAGAATGCTCTGACTCAGCATGCCTATGGATGGTAAGGTGGGTCTTTCATTATGAGTGGTAGGGTGTGGTGAGTGGTGTGATTCTCTCTCTTCCCCCATAGAGGGAGAGAAGAGGGATGGGGGGGAGGTGTTGTGTTGTGTAGCTGGTTGTTCGTAATACAAGGCTTGAATGTCAGTCAGTCAGAGAGAGGAACAGGGGCCCTGTGATAGAAAGACAGACACAAGATGGCTGCCACGTGGCTGGGTTAGGCTCCAGCACCAACAGGGACAGGCCAGGCCAGATGGAAGTCATTAGAGTCACTGGTGATTAGATGTCATGTATACTGTACAAGCGCTTTACTGCTCCACTTGTCCACATCACTGGCATCAGACACTTACACTTTGATAGATTTTACCTGAAGAAAATGCCAGAAAGTACTTCAAAATAGGAGGTGTTGTGGCAAGAGTCAGTCAGAAAGCTAGTGTTTTGTATTGAATCAGTGGTAACATTCCCACAGATGTTGCATTCAGTTACTCAGTATTCACCTTACTGATGTTGCTAGCTAGACCGTTGGGGGGGGGGGGGGGGGCATTCTGTGTAAAACCCCCGCCAAATGAATCGTCACAGTCTGGAGGTTAATAAGTGTGTTTTATGAGTTTTTCCTGTCAAAGCACATAATCATAAAAGGAGGGAGAGGGATATAAACACAGAACGTAACCAGCACAGAAAGGAGTTATGGGGGAAAATGCTATCTCGTTTGGTGCTTAATTGGAGGGACGTAACTTAGATAATGAACAGGAACATGTGTCTTACTGCCTTTGAACTTTAGAGGGGGGGAAAAGCATATTTGTCAAGTTGCATGTATTTTGGATGTTGAGGCTAGTTAGTGGAGCCAAGGCTTTTGAAAGGCTGTCTGTTGATGTCATAAAGACATTTAAGTAGCCATGCTCACCATACTCCCAACAGCATGTTGTCAATAATGATCATGTTTAGAGTCCAGGCACCAGGCAGCATGGTGTGCTTTCTACTGCTAACAGTGTATAAAAACAGACATCTGCAGATTAAACTGTCTCTGGAGATTATGGGTCGTTTAAATGGGTTCTTATCCTGCGGAAACAAACTGTTAACAGTTTTCTTGTTGATGAAAAGTGTTGTTGGAACAGCAATGACATTGCACTCTCTTATATTAAGAGTTAAAGTCCTAGATTATGCTAAAATCTAAGTTTATCGTATGTTTTCTGACCTCAAAAGTGGTCTAATGTTGAGATGAGTCCATATCCCATGCCATCGGTTGTGTAGATTGATTTCTTTATATACAGTATGTCATATTAAGGCAGTGGTTTTGAGGACATCATTTTGAGAAGTTCTTTCTTTTCCTCCTCAGTCATCACCCGGATGCTCAGACAAACAGGTGAGCCCTCACCTCTCTACACTAAGACTCCATCTCCTAGTTGACATCACTCCATGGTCTCCAGTCTTCTTGACACACTTCAGTTCCAACTCACGCAGTTACAGGCTCAATCCTTTGTCCCTTTAAGAGATCCTCTGTGTTAATCATTAGTCAGTTGGTTTTTACCCAGATCTAGACAGTATTTTAAGAGTTTGTCACCAACCGGAGCAAACTGGAAGCCAGCATAGAGACAGACGCAGGCAGGGCCTGGACTCCCTCCTCTCCTCTCCACCAGCCCAGCCTGGGTGTTTTCTTTTCTGGCTGTCCTGCCAACACCAGTCTGGGTGAGGGCTGGGACAGGGTCCGGGGCCGGGGGACTCAACGGGGAACAGGGGGGACTGGGAGGGAGGTTGGGGTGATAAGCAGACATTGTGGAGCTCCAGTGGTCAGAATTAAACTGGGCATTGTTTGATTTAGTCAGCGTCCGGCTTATCACTCCACTTATCTGTCTGGCCCTCTGGCCCGGCTGCCGTCTGTGAGAATCTCCCTTTTCAATGGGGCGCTCTCTTTCCAGGCTGTCACTCTCTCTCCCTCTCTCGCTCTTTGTCTCTCTCTCTTTCTCTCTGTCACTCTGTCTATCACTCTCTCTGTCTCCCTCTTTCTGCCCAGCCCCCATCATCTCTCGCTCTCTGGCCCCTGCTTGTTTTCATTCTCTGGTGCTCCTAACCCAGTGTGTTTGCTCTGACTGGGCCAGATATTAATACGCCTGCAGTGTTTGTGTAGCAGATAAGCTCGCTCGCGTCCCCGGTCCCACTGAATGAAAGAGAGAGGTGGAGGAGCTGCACAGTACCCCCTGTCCTTAGCTTTCCCCTCTCTCTCCCTCTCCCCCTTCTTTATTTCTCCTTCTCTCTCTGTCTCTATCTGTGTCTCTCAATCTCTCCCCCCTCTCTCTCTGCCTACCACTCCCTCTCTCTTTCTCCCTCTCTCTCTTCTCTATCTCTCCCCCCCTTCTCTCTCTTCTTTCTGTGTGAGTGGGTCTAAAGTAACAGTGTAGCCGAAGCTTCCGGGCTGAACAATGTTAAACAAACTGATGTTAAAGGTCCAGAGGGTTGAGTTGCCTTTGCTTTGGTTGGAGTGGTCACCCAGTTCCTGGAACCCCATTTGCTATCATGCTTTATTCTTTATGAAACTATGCTGACTGTTGGACTGTAGCTAGGTCCTTACGATGTTACCAATCATCATCTTCACAGACTAAAATAACCTCTTCTTAGTGTGATGATACCATTCAATGGCATACTGTATACTTGATTGACTAGTAAAATAATAATAATATAATATGTCATGTGTGCATACATTTTTACGTATGGGTGGTCCCGGGGATCAAACTCACTACCCTGGCGTTACAAGCGCCATGCTCTACCAATTGAGCTACAGAGGACCACTAGTCAGCATATCTTCTACCTGTGTGTTTGTTCCACCTGTTTCTCACACTCCTTTTCTTTCTTTCTTTCTTTCTTTCTTTCTTTCTTTCTTTCTTTCTTTCTTTCTTTCTTTCTTTCTTTCTTTCTTTCTTTCTTTCTTTCTTTCTTTCTTTCTTTCTTTCTTTCTTTCTTTCTTTCTTTCTTTCTTTCTTTTCTTCTTGACTCCAGGCGTTCAGCACTCGTGGTCCACTTTCAATCTGAGCTGTCCTGCCTCTCCAGGTAGACCCTCACACTTCCCTAATGGCTATCCTTTACTTTTTTAATTAGCCTATTTTCTTCTTACTTAGAAAAACGGAAGCTACATTGAACTTAATTATTGAGTATATCATCAAGACTCTTCTTGTATTGTCTCGCACAGTTAAGAGAAAACTGGACGGCCCTTCCATGGACATCTCCCGGGTGAACAGTTTGTGTGATGACATGGACTATGTCAGCGAGGACATCCCTTTACCCGTGGTGACAGACACAGCACAGTAAGTACCTAACGACCCCTCCATCCGTCACTCACTACAGTACATCTACCTGCCATTCATCAACCCTACATCCATTGTATTGTACCCATGCTCTTGTCCTTATTAACTTATTAACCCATACCATAGATGCCTCCCTGCCTCTTACACAGGTCCATCCGTAATCCGTACGCTATAAAGCGTTTTGTTAGGCCAAAGAGCCCTCCCTGTTAATATAGAGCTGCTCTGTTCAACTCACTAGAGGGTTAAATGGCCTCTTGAGTGCTTGAAACCCTGGTTGTTACCACGACATAGAAAGGATTAACCTTGAGTTGGAGAAAACAGCCCAGTTTGTTTGTGACATGTTTGTAAGGTGACTGGTTGGCTAGTTACTATAGTGCCTTCGTGAAAGTATTCACACCCATTGACTTTTTACACATTTTGTTATGTTACAAAGTGGGATTAGAATTGATTTAATTGTCCTTTTTTGTCAACGATCCACACACAATACTTTGTAATGTCAAATTGGAAGACAAGTTATATGGTAAAAAAATATATATATGAAAAAGAAAACATATTCAACCTTAGTCAATGCATGTTAGAATCACCTTGTTTTGGGGTAAGTCTGTAAGATCTTTGCATACAGTGCCTTCAGAAAGTATTCATAACCCTTGACCTATTCCACATTTTATTGAGTTAAAGCCTGAATTCAAAATGAATTAAAATATTGTTTTCTCACCCATCTACACACAATACCCCATAATGACAAAGTGAAAACATGTTTTTAGAAATTTAGCAAATGTTATGAAAATTAAATACAGAAATATCGAATTTACATAAGTATTCACACCCCTGAGTCAATACATGTTAGAATCACCTTTGGCAGCTGTGAGTCTTTCTGGGTAAGTCTCTAAGAGCTTTGCACACCTGGATTGTACAATATTTGCACAATATTATTTTAATAATTATTCAAGTTCTGTCAAGTTGGTTGTTGATCATAGACATCCATTTTCAAGTCTTGCCATAGATCTTCAAGCCGATTTAAGTCAAAACTGTAACTACACCTCTCAGGAACATTCAACATCGTCTTGGTAAGCAACTCCAGTGTATATTTGGCCTTGTGTTTTAGGTTATTGTCTTTGCTGAAAGGTGAATTTGTCTCCCAGTGTCTGTTGGAAAGCACACTGAACAAGGTTTTCCTCTAGGATTTTGCCTGTGCTTTGCTCTATTCCATTTATTTTAATCCTAAAAAAAAACTCCCTAGTCCTTGCCGATGACAAGCATACCCGTAACATGATGCAGCCACCACCATGCTTGAAAATATGAAGAATGGTACTCAGTGATGTGTTGGATTTGCCCCAAACATAGAACTTTGTATTCAGGACATAAAGATCATTTCTGTACCACATTATTTGCAGTTTTATTTTAGTGCCTTATTGCAAACAGGATGCATGTTTTGGAATATTTGTATTCTGTACAAGCTTCCTTCTTTTCACTATGTCAATGAAGTTAGGATTGTGGAGTAACTACAGTGTTGTTGATCCATCCTCAATTTTCTCCTATCACAGCCATTAAACTATGTAACTGTTTTAAAATCACCATTGGCCTCATGGTGAAATCCCTGAGCGGTTTCCTTCCTCTCCGGCAACTGAGTTAGGAAGGACACCTGTATCTTTGCAGTGACTGGGTGTATTGATACACCAGCCAAAGCGTAATTGATAACTTCATCATGCTCAAATTGATATTCAGTGTCTGCTTTTTTAATTTACACCCATCTACCAACAGGTGCCCTTCTTTGCGAGGCATTGTAAAACCTCTGTGGTCTTTGTGATTGAATCTGTGCTTGAAATTCACGACTGAGTGACGTTATAGATAATTGTATGTGTGTGCAGGAGCGGTGCGTGGGTAAAATCACCAGGGAAACCAAGCTAGGAAAAAAAAGCCATATTACAACCTTTATGTTGTGATAATTGCATTGTTAGCTCTATAAACGGTTAGTTCAATCATATGCCTTGACACCGTGATATATTAGCCTGAGGCAGAGACAATAAGAAGACACAGTGGAAGAATAAATTCAACCACACCTTTGTTTCACCACAAAACCGGAGAGCAACATCTGCCCAGAGAAGTCCACAAAACATATTGCATGTAACAAACATGGTCAAGCAAATGAATGTTTCTGACATTTTCGGACTACTAAACAACTATTGATTTAGAAGTCGAAAAGAAAACAGGTACTGCCTCCATTATTCCAGCACCATTTCAACTTCAACATTTCAACGTCATCAAATCACCTATGCTTAGTCTAATGCAGTGACAACTAAAATATACAAAAAAACTATTTAGTCCAATAAACGTAAGCTAAATATGATGTGGCTGCCCTGGTACTGATTTCTGTGTGTGTGTGTGTGTGTGTGTGTGTCTGCGTGCGTGCTAGCTTGCTTGCTTGCAAGTAGAAAAATACATTTAGACTCACCCTACTTGTAGAGAAACACCAATGTCATCCTCCTCTTTCATGTTGCCTAAACGGTCTGTGACTCTGTCATACAGTACACACTTTACATTTTTGTTGTCCTAGGCTACCTGGCTAAAATGTTTGCTCACTAGCCAAACTTCCTTTAGTGGGCAATGATGTGCCAGGCCAGATAGTTAGCATTAGCCTACTACATCTAGCTACATGTTGAACTTCCATCCTCTCAGGCTAGGGGCACAATGTATGAATTTATGGTTGGATCAGAATCGCTGTTATAATCATTGGCCAGTTTGGATAATTAAGTAAAACCACAAGTCCAAATCCCTATATACAGGACAACAACACAACGAGATGCAACAATTCAATGACATTTGGCTTCTGATGTGATTGGTGTGAAGCCAAATCCAAACTAGCTTCCCGTGAATTTTTTTGGGGGTTTGCCAGGACCATTCACAGCTGAGCTCACTCAGTTTAGCTCAACGCTGATTGGCTATTATTTAATATTTTTTTTATCAAGGGAAGCCAAATGCTGTCTGGCTTCCCTTGCATTCAATGCTACGGGTGGCATAATTGTCATACTCTTTTTGACCAGACAGCATCAAATAGATGGGCTACACATACTGAGACAGGGGGGCACTGTTTTCCTCGCTCGGATGCTTTCTCCGGTGAGGTACATTCAGCCTCTTGCGAATTGAAGGAAAATTATGAATCACAGAGAGACGAAATATCAATTATTTGGTATGTTTTGTTCTTTTTTGATGGTACATATTTTGGGGAAGCCTGGCTTCCCTTGGCATCCATGAATACACACCACTGTGTGTGTGGTACAGAGATGGGGTAGTCATTCAAAAATCATGTTAACAACTATTATTGCACACAGAGTGTGTCCATGCAACTTATTATGTGACTTATTAAGCACATTTTTACTCCTGTACTTACTTAGGGGTCAGGGAGGTGACCAAGAACCCAATGAAAACTCTGACAGAACTACTTCCTTGGCTGAGATGGGAGAACCTGCCAGAAGGACAACAGTCTCTACAGCACTTCACAAATCTGGGCTTTATGGGAGAGTGGCAAGATGGAAGCCACTCCTGAGAAGAAGGCATGACAGCACGTCTGGAGTTTGCAAAAAGGCACGTGAAAGACTCTGCGAGCATAAGGCAAAAGATTCATAAGGCAAAAAATTACTATTTGGCCTGAATGCAAAACGCTATGTCTAGAGAAAACCAGGTACAGCTCATCACCCGTGTAACACTATCCCTACCATGAAGCATGGTGGTGGCAGCATCAACTGCTATGGGGATGCTTTTCAGCAGCAGGGACTGGGAGACTGGCAAGGATAGAGGGAACAATGAGAACCTGCTTCAGAGTGAAAATGACCTTAGACTGGGGGCAAAGATTTACGTTCCAACAGGACAATGACCCCAAGCATACAGTCAAAGCAATGCTGGAATGGCTTAAGAACAAGAATGTGAAAGTCTTTGAGTGGCCCAGCCAAAGCCCAGAGTTGAATCCCATTGAAAATCTGTGGAAAGATTTGAAGATTGCTGTTCACTGCCTCTCCCCATCTAACTTCACAGAAAATATGCAAGGAAGAATGGAAGAAAATCCCCAAATCCAGATGTGCAAAGCTGAAACAGACATACCCAAGACAACTAAAAGCTGTAAATGCTGCCAAAGGTGCTTCTACAAAGTATTGATTCAAGGGTGTGAATACTTATGTAAATGAATTTGCGAAAATTTCTAAAAACATGTTTTCACTTAATCCATTTTTCTATTTAATCCATTTTGAATTCAGGCTGTAACACAACAAAATGTGGAATAAATCAATGGGTATTCATAATTTTTGAAGGCACTGTATCTACTTTCACTGTCAATTAATGCTCTTTTTGTTGTTTATTGGAGACCAACACCTATTTTGCAACTTCACACTGTCAACTGTCACTTGACATGTTTACATTGAGCGAGAGAAGAGCTGCAGAGTGGCAGGACTTTGCACTGTCAGAGAGAGTGTCAACATTGCTGTTTTGCCAAAGGTGCTGCTGTGGTGCTAGGGGGACATTGCTACTATAAATATTGTCTCCAATGGGATGAAAATACATTTGACTTGATCAAATCCTCAAATCATCCACAAATTTCAATGGGATTGGCAGTTATTTATCTACAGGACAGAAGAAGTGGAGTGTCAGATATCTTAACAGTAGGCAGGGCAAACCCGTTTTGGTGATTCCTGGTATATCATCAAAATCAATCAATCGCAGCATGTTTTTAGACTCATTCAGCAGTTTTTACCTGATTAAGTACAATACCATTGGACATTAATGTTGAAAGTTACATTTATATTCCTAAAACATAAGTTGAAAATTATGCTGTCGCTGCTTCCTGTTGACAAGACATTTTGATAAATAGCCCAATGTCAAAACACAGTTTTAACGTGTCCAAATCAATAACCAATACGCAGAAACAGTTTGTGATATACTGAAAACCTAAACATAAATGTCTATCTACACATACAGTACCAGTCAAAAGTTTGGACACACCTACTCATTCAA